ACACGCGCGCGCGCGCCGCGCGCGCATACACACACACACACACACACACACACGCACACACACACGCAAACACACACACATACATGCACTCACACGTAGGCTTACAATCACATGCATAATATAAATGAGCAGTAATATAAACAATAATAATCTTAAGCTAAATACACACGTAATGTTATTCTGATGCATGCTCTGAGAGGTCCCCCTGTCTATGGCCGCGGACACCTTTCTACTCGTCAATGGGTGAACGTCTCAGACAATTTCGATTATGAAAATAATACTATTTTCTTGTCTGTGGGAGCAGGTATGCCTCAAGTCAGACTTCGTGTTCACGGGCTACTTCAAGGACCCGGAGAAAACACGAGAAACTCTTGATGACGAGGGCTGGCTTCATACAGGTGATATTGGTACCTGGTTACCGGTAAGTCTTACCTTGACCGCAAAGTCAAAGTGCTTGAGCCTCGTGCTGCGCTATGACAAAACTGTGGGCATATAGTTTGGTCGATGAGTTGTGGACAGTCTGGTCCTCTTTGGCCTTGTCCCTTTTCCCCCAGTGCTATTGTTATCTCCTTTTTCTTTCTAACGATGGTGGCTATTGTGGTGCGTGCCTTACATAATAATTATATCGGAAGAGAGATGATTTAATTCCTCTCCTCTTTACTAAGATTGTCATTCCGACTTTGCCTGCTCAAGATGATATGCCTTCCGTGTTGAATGGCTTTTTTTGCCCACGAGTTAGATTTATAGAGGCAATATTTTCTAGCCTATTTTCAGGAATCGGTTTTGTAATGCTTTTTACTTCCCCTCGCATCTTCCACGCGACTTACCCCTTCTTCCTACTGTCTATATTTTATAACTTGTTTTTGTATTACGTAATCTCTGTAATCTTTATCACTGTGTCCTAATGCTGTGTATAGTTTTGGCTTTTCACATTTCTATCCACGAACTTCATCTCTCTCTCTCTCTCTCTCTCTCTCTCTCTCTCTCTCTCTCCATTCACCCATCGACCAACCTTTCACCATCTCTCTCTGTTCTCTCCCCTCCTCCATTATTCTCTGCCTTCTTCCTGCATCACTTGTACCACGAACATAAAAACTTCAACGTCATGTTTCCCCATTCATAATCATAATAATGCATATGTTATAATAACATAATAACGACATTTATATAGAGCATATCCACGCTCTACAGCACACTCTCTGCACTTTACAATCTATTATTACAACATTCATATGACCTCATGCAGTTGCGAGCGCCGTAAAACTTTCACTAAACTTTCTAACAACATTCTTCTCCACCCTGAAAATGACCTCACAAAGCCTAGGCCTTGGAGCCACATTAAACACTCAAACGACAAGATTTCCCTTCTAAAATATCACTGATAATAATCCCGGTTTTTCCGTACCACATCCGTCCGCATTAAGTTCACCCCCTCTCACACACACACACACACACACACACACACACACA